AATGACTTTTTCTGGTAGGCAAGAGTGTTTTATTTACTAAGCAGGCATGTTTTGTGTGCAGTTTTTATTTTCTAATCATCCAGGGCTTATTAATGCTGTGTCAGCGCTGTTCTTTTCTTCTAAACATGCATGCAAATTACCAGTAATGATGTGTCAGTTCTGTTTTTATTTTATAACCATCCAGAAATATGAATGCTATCAGTACTCACCTGTGTTTAAAATTAGTTTTGTTGACTTAAAACAACAAGGAAAAACTTCTGTGTAGCATGTTTCTGTCTAATTATCTTATGGTATGGTCATACATGCGCTGTGCGCCAGAGACCTGCATGTGGCTGCTGCGCCGCGGCTTGTATTTGAGTGTGGCGTGTGAATAGAAAACCTCTCTTTTTTTGTTGGTGCGCTCTAGAGTCCGGAAATTACGGTACTGCCTATGTATCTATACATGTACCTTTGTTATTATTTTTTATTCAGATTATTCTCTTAAGTGTTTGTGCTGCTGTAACAAGCGAATTTCCCCATTGTGAGATCAAAAATGTCTATTCTATTCTATTCTATTTTGTTGTTGGTGCAATTCTATTTGTTTATTTAAAGAGTTTCAGGTGTGGCCAGCCCTGGTCCCGGAGATCCCCTATCCAGCATGTCTTAGACGTTTCCCTGTCTCAACACACCTGATTTGAATCAGTGGTGATTAGCGGTGTTCTGAGGAGCCTGAGTAGCTGTTGAACAGGTGATTCAGGAGATCTTGAGGACCAGGGTTGGGCACACCTGGTTTAGATATTGGTCATTTTATTGTTATTGAATTTAAGAACAAGTGTTAATTCTGCTCATGTTAGTCTTTTGACTAAAGTTCTTTTTAATTTTAGCCACAATTGAGTCATTCAATTAGCTTTAGTTTTAGTCTTATTTTAGTTGACTAGAGTATGTGCATTTTTCTTCTGATGCAATCATTTTCAACTTGTGTGAAGGAAATGTTAACTCACCTACTTGAAACTGTAAAGAACTATGTAAAATTCACATTTCACACTTTGGATCAATAAAACTCTATATTTGTAACTGTTTCTGTAACACTAATTATTGGAAAATACCTAAATTAACACTGACAAATTGAAATAGTCCTCTCAGTGTTAATAAAATAAACAAATCTGTATAATGTGCAGTAATATTTGTAAACATGTCAGAAAATGAAATCATACTATTGAAACATTAAAAATGTATTACTTTAAAGATAAACTAAAGGTAAGAAATGTTTTCAGGAAAATTTATTAGAGTTTTTATTTGAATGATTGATTACGGTGGGGTACCTGAACGTTTCTCCTCACAAAAGCGCCGCTAGAACACAGAACACTGATCATATCGACCATAACAGCCATGAAAGAAACAAAACAAACAACAATATTAGTTAGTTTACAAAAGTAACACTGCTGAGAACATCCTTCATTTAACAGTAAAAGGAAAAAAAGGTGAAATTAAAGCACAAAAAAAGGAAAGAACTTTTAATTTTGGAATAAAATTTTGTGCTAACTGAAAATACTTTCCTTTAACATTTATTTCTGGCACTTTAGCCGCTAGAACAGGGGTGCCCAATCCTAGTAATGGATTGGCAATATTTATCAGTGGAACACGAACCAGGACAGAACCCTGTCAGGTCGGCCGTCAAGGACAGTGATGCTATCACACATGTGCAGCAAAAGGTGAGACTGTGTGTGAGTAAAGTACCCGGTGGGAGGCATGATGACTACGGGGGAAGAAAAAAAGTAACCAAAGACACTTCAAAAACCTATTTCATTGACATTTATTAATTAGCTAAAATATCAAAGCAAAATTAAAGCAATGTAACACGTGTTAGGGGTATTAGTCCACAGATCGTGGGACACCATGCTGCACATCTTTCTAACATCAAAATGATGTTTAAGCTTTTTGTTCATTCATGGTTCATGAAAAATCTTTATTACAAAACTATGATGAAAGGTTACGATAGAAATTATTTTTTCTTAAAAGGATCATCCTGCCCCGGTTCCCTGTTGTAGTCTTTGTATATTTTTCAAGTTTCATTTCTTGTATTTGTTTGAAACGTTTACCCCAAATGAAAGGCCCATCTGTAGATCAAATCTCTCAGAAAAAAGTTCAAACCTAAATGTTATTTCATCACACGTGAAAAATGCGCGCTCAAGCCTGACATTGGTTTTAGAATGTGTGCAGCTCTGAGTTTGTGACATTTTGTTTTAAAGTCCTGCTGTTTTCTTCTAAAAGACTTCCTGACCTTTTTAAAGGATCCTGAGCAGACTTCCCACTAGATCACGGGTGGGGAACCCTGGTCCATCGAGGACCGCTATCCAGCATATTTTAGTTTCAACCCTGCTTCAACACACCTGATTTCAATCAGCAGGTGATTAACAGGCTACTGCAGAGCCTGATGAGCTGCTGAACTGGTGAATCAACCTCTGAATAAGAAGTGTTGGAGCAAAGACATGCAGGATACCGGCCCTCAACGGCCAGGGATCTCCACGCCTGCCCAGATCATATTCTCTAATCATTGGTTTGTGGGCGTACAACACATGAGTCAGTAAAACTACAAATCCCAGAATGCAATTGTGCTATCCTGTCATTCAAGCCTCACAAACCATGGAATGCTAAAGACTGAAATCAGGTGTTTTTGGTTGGACTTTTTCTTTGCATTGTTTTGACCTGTGGTGAAATAGTTTAAATCCAAATTTACATAAAACGTGCTAATAGAGAAGATGTGAGGAAATAATATCAAATTTTCTTTTACTTAAAACAAATCTGTGCTTTTGTTTTGATGTTTAATGAAAAGACTTTTCTTAAGCTTGAAAATGTTAAAACAATAGTGTTATTGTGGCTCTTGTGTTTTTGACACCTTGCCCTTAAGCAACATATTTCAGATGCAGATATTTTGTACATGAATGCCTCTGCTAAATTCCTTCAGTCGCTTGACTCTGTGTATCATGCTGCTCTAAAGTTCTTCACTAACCGTACCTCCTTGACTCGTCATTGTGAATTGCACTCTCAGGTGGGGTGGCCTGCGTTGACCATTAGGAGGAAATCGCACTTTTGGAGATTTATATTCAAGGCAGTACTCGGTCTGCTACCTTCCTACATAAGTTCCCTACTAAAAATGAAAGCCGCAGGTCGCTATTCTCTTCATCTGCAAGATAACGTGTTGCTTTCTGTCCCATTTGCACGTACTGAACTAGGAAAGACAGCTTTTGTCCATTCAACACCATCGACTTGGAATGAGTAGCAGACAAAATGGAAGATGACAGAGCTTATTTCGCTGAGTGTGTTTAAATCTAAATCAAGAAATCCTGAGAGCACCTCACTGATATGCAACTGTTTAGATTGTTTTATAGTTTTAAGTGTACTTGTTTTATAGGGTGTTAATTGTGTAAACGTTGTCTTGTATATTTATGCTGCAGGACTCCCTTGAAAAAGAGGTTTAGAATCTCAATGGGCTTTTTCCTGGGGAAATAAAGGTAAGAAAAAAAGCAGTATGAATAAAATAAATAAAAAAAGGTATTTTATAAATTTTGGCAATAGTTTTACTCACTTTCACTCTTGTTCTTGTACCTAACCCTCAATGCTTATTTGTATAAACCTATAAAATGACCTTTTAATTGCTCAAGAATCAAATGTAAAGGGCTCTTTGGTCATGAAGTTGACCTTCATTCTGTCTACCCATAGATGCTATAATGTGTTCTTATTTTTGAAGTTAAAATTACTAAGATTTCCCGTGAAGCTGCATTTTGCGAGGCTTAAAATAGTATTTTTACATCAACAAGGCGATGCTCAAAGACACATTGACTCTGCACACTAGGGTTCAATGTGCACTTGGAATAAAGACTGAAGCTTTAAAGAAACATCAGATAAAAAAACCCTACTAAAAAACAGCTGAACAATGTTTGAAAAACTTGTTTGTACAAAATGGAGAAAAGAATCAGCTTAATTCTGTCTCATGCCCAGACTGACAATCTACTTTCATCCACTTTTCACCAAGTTTTCAGCTAATGACTAAAAAAAATCACCTTTTAGCTTCAAAAATGTCTGTTGAATTGTATTACCTTTAAAAATAATAGAAAGAACTAATAATGTCTTTGCAGCAGACTGTCTGTAGTCAGGCTCCTAAAAATGCTTATTCAAAGATGTTGTTTGTTGTTGTCATGAATGGATTGATAGATCAGAGTTAGGAGAAAGAACAAAGAAGCAGAAAAACAAAACATTTTTCTAAAAATGGTCATGTAAGCTGCCAATGCAAAAACAATAAAATGTTGAAAGAGCTTTAGAAAGCCTGAAGAAAAATTAAAAATGACTAAAATGAAGAGGAACTTTACAAAGCCTGGGTTCTTGGAAGAATAAAGTAAAGGATTGAGTTCTGGCTTAAGAACCGCGTCACTGTCTGCTGGTCTGTCTGGTTAAATGCTGCGTTCAAGTCCCCTCGTGGCAAATCGCACGTAGCAGCAGAAGCACATGTCCATTCGTGCCTTGTAAATGTAACCAGCCTGCTGGGAATTTACCCAAAACAAACACGAGTAGTGTGTGTAGCGACACTTCATTCATTTGGACATAAACACTATCAAAGACATAACCTTGAAGTGGCAACAACAGGCATGAGGGCTGCATCACATAGACACATTTGCAAAGTGGCTGTACATTTCTGCCATCCTCCTCATTTACATTGAGAATGAACTGCACCTGTCATTTTAATGAGGAAGAAACAGCAGCTTATTAAACCACAAATCCTCATTAGAATTTGAACTGGAATGCTTTATTAACCTTTACGCCTTATTTAGAAGCAATTACGTTTTTTCTTTGTTTCATGAACTGCAGCATTTAAACCCTGCAGAACTCTCATTTTTAGCCCCCTCTTCATTTATTCATCCATTCATCTCCTCCTAATACCGGTTCTTTTTCTTTCCTTTTTCCCCCCAAAAAAATCATTTACATTTCCTCACCCTTATTTTTGATTCCCATACCACCCATCATACCTGTGGCCTCCACCATGCCCTCAAGGATGACGACGATCTCAAACTCCTCCTTCTCCATTTGAGCCATCGACATTTCCCAGAAGGGGCTTCTTTCATTAATCTCATGAGAGATGATGAGTGGTGATACCAAGAACAGCCGGTCATCTCCCGTGTCAAAGCCAATGTTGATGTCAGTCTGGTTGAGTGGGATGAACTCCCCCTCTTTGGTCTGTTGTGAGCGGATCAGCTTTGCTCTAATTGATGCCTCCACGATGTGAGAGTTCCTCAGGTCCCCCACCCGAAACATCAGGCACATCTTGTTATCTCGAACCGATATGACGGCGTTGTGTGAAAACATGAGAGTCTCAGCGCGGTTCTTTGGCTGTGAAATCTTGACAAACATGCAACCAACCATTATGGCGTTAACGATGGAACCCAAGATGGCCTGTACCAAGAGCAGTATAATACCTTCAGGGCATCTTTCTGTGATAACGCGATAGCCGTAACCAATGGTGGTCTCTGTCTCAATGGAGAAAAGGAAAGCTGAGACAAAGCTGTTGAGATTCTCTACGCAAGGGGTCCAGTCCTTCTCATCCCCATGCACCAGATCTCCTCGGATGAGTGCAATCAGCCACCAAAGAAATCCAAAGAAAAGCCAGTTGATTACGTAGACTAAGGTGAAAATTAAAAGGCTAAAACGCCACCGTAAATCCACCAGCGTAGTGAACAAGTCACTGAGGTAACGATAGGTCTCTTGCACATTTCCATGATGAACGTTGCACTTGCCGTCCTTTTGCACGTACCGCTGCCGCGGCTTCTTCACTGGTTCTGAAATCAGGTGGGTTCTCTCTGTTGAGATCTGAGCCTCCCTCAGATGTTTAGGGAGCTTCTTCACCTATGTTCAAGAAAAGGAAAGAGAACAAACAAATCATTTATGAAAGAAAAACAACAAGAGCGGTTGGTGTTTTCCTGCCCTGAAGGTCTCTACACTGATCTCTTTCAGTAAATAGTTTCTTCACTGAGATTGTGTCTTTGCACTGAAGGATAAAGGTATTAACTCGTTTATGTGATGTGCCTTCAGCCTGCATCAACCCTTGTGTTCGGCTGGCTGCTGGTAGGGAAGTAAGTGCAATAAAGTCACTTCCCAGAGCTGCTTGACACTGACATTGCAGGTGTCAGTCTATGTATGTCTATAACAGGGACAAAAAGAAACTAAGGACACTGTAAGAACACAAGGACATTGAGGTCTTTGAGTTGGCCGTCTGCCACCAAGGCGATCTGGCTCCAAAGCTGTGTCCTGCCTCTCTGCCCATCCCCTGTGATCCATCCTTTTCCACACTCAGAGAACAGGCAGGAACAGATCCTTCATCCCTGCATAACAGATCCTTGTTATCCTTCAAACAAATGCAACATTATGAACATACAGTGTGTGTCCTAATATGTGCACTTTAAATGTGTGGATTCCTCATTTAATCAATACATTTGCAGTGGTTTCTAGTAAGAATGAATGCCTTGCAGGCATAACCCAGGGCACAAAAAAATCCCTCAAATCCCCAAATTAGCAGGACCACGTCTACAACATCACAGCTGAGCTTCAGATGACAGGATTTGGAGTCTTATTTCCTAATGTTGGGACTTCTTGCTGTGGACTGGATAAGAGCAACGTGACTCTACCACTGACTGGACACGTGGATGTTTTATCTCCACCAATAACAAAGGCCTGGAGCAGCTTCTGCCTTAAGGGTGAAGTTGCTAATGCTAAGGGTTAGCTCAAACTGGCCAGGACGTCTGCTGTAGACGTTAAAGCAACAACAGCCTTCCCCTTCGTGAGTCAAGATCGGTGGGTCCATGAATGCTAATTTATAGTGTGACGTAGATCTGTGAGGATTTTCATATCCTAGCGTTTCGTCGTCTATTTTCTGTCAGAAGCTAAAGCAGGAGATAGGTGTAGGAGACTATTTTCATGTTCAGCCTGCGGGAAAAACTCAGAATGACCAATTCGAATCAGAAAGTCAACTACACCTCTAAGAAAAAGAAGCTAGATGGTAAATAAAGAGCAGCTGCAGAGAATTTATTTTGGGTCTTGGTTTTGTACTCACACAGACACAATCGTAGGAAAACTAATTCACAAGAGACCTTCAGAACAACAGCCCAAGGGCACTTCGACAGCACGGCAACAATTTCAAGCTCAGCTGATAAGTCACCCCAAAGACACTGAAAGTTTGCCGCTAATCGACACTGAAACCCTCTAGAGTCAGGCTCATATCTCCAGGAAACGCACATCCACTTGTGCTTCCACCGGCCTCATCTCTGCTCTATCACAGAGACGATCATTCTCACATTTTAGCCAACAAAGAACATTATCCAAGGCAGTGTAATGTCCTTCCAGTGCCTTTGATTCCAGAGCCTCCAAAACCAAATGTGCCAGATGAATTTATTAAAGGTAGTTTCAGTGAGGTGTCTTGGGAAGTTTCACTGTTTCATAATTATCCAGGATGAGTTTACAGTACTGATTTGCTGGACATTGATTTGGAGTGATCCTTGGTTGAAAAATGGAACAAAGAAGAACAGACAGACAATGCTTATTGACTTTCATCCCAATTAGAGGTTCTACAGAGATAACCCTTTGTGGGGACATTGGGTCGAATGGGCACAGTCAGTCCACCACTTTTAAAAGTGAATAATAACAACTTATCAGGCACATCTTGGTTTTAAAAAAAAATCAAATTAACCTTAACCTAATGCAGGTTGGTCTAATTGAGCTGTAGAAGTAGCTGTCTTAGGCAGTACTGCCTTTGCAGTCAATGTTTAACCTGGAGGGTGACGATCCATAAATAAATTAATTAGCTGTCTCTGCAAGGCAGTCGTAAATGGAAGGTTCTTTTGTTTCCTCACTGGGCCTTTCTGGTCAGGGTTGAGTAAGTGCCTGAAGTTCCAGTCAGTGTGGGAATCAGTACAGATAATAAGGATAAGCCCACCATCTGTTATGTTAGATGTCTTTTCTTTACCGTCTCCAGTGCCAAGAAAACTCAGTTATGTTCTTGTTTAAATACTGACAGAGACTTGGCTAAATCGTCTAAGCGATGGATTGTTGAGCATTGAACTTACTTCAGGTAAGGGTCTGAATAATTAGGGCCATGTGATATTTCAGTTTGTCTTTTCTAATAAATCTGCAGAAATGTCCTATGTTCTGTGTTTTTCTGTCAATATGGGCTGCTCAGTAATGAGGAAAAAAAAATCTATTTCATTGAATTTATCAAAAGGCTGAAAAATAAAGAGTGAAAAATTGACGGGGGTCTGAATACTTTCCGGACCCACTGTATGTTGCCAAAAGTATCTGGGCATTTTCCTTTACATGAATGAACATCTGATTTTAATCCAGCATGCTGTAACGGCTTCAGTTCTTATGAAAATGCTTTCCACAAGGTATAAAAACGTATCGAGGAATGTTTTGAGCACTCATTCAGAGTTGCATTCAAGAAGTGAGGCTCAGCCTCACTAACAGTTTCTGCTCTCATTTATCCTAAACATGCTCTGTTGAGTTAAAGCCAGAACTTTGTAAAGGCCAATGAAATTCTCCTCCTCACCAAACTCATGTATTTGTGTCTTCATCAGAAAACCTTGATTTAATTGATTTGGTGGGGCAGCCAAACACTTTTGGCTACACAGGGTACTTCTTTACATCTATTGCTGCATTTCTTTTGCCTTTGGAGTCAATGGAAGTGGACTGAACATTCTCATGCTGTTTGCTGTGATGCTTTTTTTGTGTTTGTTTTGTTTTTCACAGAAACCACAGAAAAAAGCTATAATTAACAAACATGTGAACTGATTCAGACTAGAGGACCTGGATGACAGGTGTGCACATGCCCAGAGAGTGACTGGACAGGACTCTAAAGCCCACATCCAGAGAGCACGGACTCTGGCTCTAAAAAATACAACCTAGCAGCAACTATGAATGGGATATTAAAGCTTTACTTCTAAGCAATGACTGAAGGTGGAGACATTAATCAGTTTCCATGTTGATGCATCAAACCTGACTCTACCATGTCCCAGTTGCAAGTCAGGGCAGACTAGTAGGGTTTACAAATTGTTGTGATCTGCAATAATCCCTCTGGATCGAGCCCTCTCTCCAGCACTGTGAGTGTATAAGGGAATTACTGACAATTACAACATAAGCAATCACTGTTTATCATGTGTGAGGCAGCCATGCCTGCTTTTGAGGTCAGCACCTTTGACTTTGCAAGCCAAGATAAGAGCTTTGTGAGACGTCCCGGTGGATTTTCCTGAATTAGAATTTATAAATTCCATAGAACGTCTATAAAGTAGGTTACTGGAAATTCTAAATTCTGAGTACATCTTAATAACCTTATTTTCAAAACCAAGGACAAACTGGAGCACTCTAATCAGCACAGGTGTGACCAAGTCTCGGCTTTGCAAGTCACAAGTAAGTCACAAGTCTTTCCAGTCAAGTCTCGAGTCAAGTCCAAGTCAAAAACAATCAAGTCCAAGTCGACTCCAAAATCAGTGATGTGGAATGTCCACGTCAAGTCCAAGTCCTTAACTTTGAATTTTCAAGTCATAATAAAGTCATCTGTCCAACTTCAATTTAATAACGTTAATAAATAAATCCCAGAAATAAAGCCTCTTAAAGCTTAATTTATTTGCTCAAACAAGATTTGTTGTGGCTGGTGCCATTTATGTTTTTATTTCATTTCTTACTCCTCTGTTTGTATCCCTCTTGTGTGAGAGGAGCTGTTTTGCAGCACCTGGCTTCTCCCACACCTGTCCGGCTCCACACTGAAGTCCCAGCTGGTGGCTATGACAATCAGCAGCTGGATGAGGACTCAGTGCATAAAAGCCACCCAGCCCTCATCATCAAGGAGCAAACAGCTGGACATGTGGTCTCTGTCGTGCTGGCTCCTCAGCGTGCTTTTGTTTAAATCTCTTTTAGCTAATTTGTGTCTTGTGTGTGCAGGGGGTTTCCTGATTCATAGTTATGTTGGCTAAGTAGAGTTATTGTGTTTTATTATTTTAGTTGCTGCCGATTGTGTTTAATAACTAATTAACTGCCATTGACGACTAAAGTCGTCATTTTAAATCCAACCGTTCACTGCCAATGACGACTAAAGTCATCATTTGCATTTTTTTACTGTGTGGGCATCGGAACGAGCTCCCGCACCATGAGAACAAACATCCCAGCTCTAAAGCCGAACTTCATCCGCGTACGTCACACGTCACGTGATCAGGAAGCAGAACATCCATGTGTTAGGAGATCGTTTTGGGCCGCTGCTGTAAAAAAGAATTGAGGCGCAAACCGGAAAAGCTTCTGCCGATCACAATTCAACAACGGATTATGAAAGAAGGAATAACGCTCCAAACACGTGGATTCTTCCTGATGTAAGAGGTGAGTCTCTGCTTTGTTTTGGTTGTTTTGGTGTTGACATCATCCTAGCGCACAACGTTCTGTGACTCTTAATACCAACAGTAAAAACGGTGAGAAATGCTGGCAGCAAATGAGTTAATTTTCCTTGGTGTGAATAAATTTGTCTAAGTTTACTTAAACACCAGAGCACGTGTCCTCCTTGTTACCCCAGGTCCCCTAGACAGCCTGGTGAGTAACAAAGTGCTGCTGCTTGTAGCAGTACAAGATCTAACCCAGGACAAAGAACGATTTATGACTTTTGTCCATGTTGTGCCACTTTTGTGCTAAAAGATCAAATATGCTCAAGTCATCGTTAAGTCAACAGATGAAAGTCAATTCAAGTCACAAGTCATTGTCGTTCAAGTCCAAGTCAAGTCGTAAGTCTTTATAGATTTTATCAAGTCAAGTCAGAAGTCATTAAATTTTGACTCGAGCCTGAATCGAGTCCAAGTCATGTGACTCAAGTCCACACCTCTGCTAATCGGTGAAATCGTTTAATCAGTGGTGTATACGTAAACTAACGTTTTGACTCAAAGTGCCTTCATCAGAGTGTATAAGTGAACAGGGAGAGCTACGTACTTATACATGTTTTTATCATGCCATGTAGTTTTCCCCGGGTAAATACTGATTGTTGAAAGCTGAGGTGTTTTATTCTATTTATACTTTGTTGGACTTTCTAAGAGTGAGCAATAATTATAATAATAGTCTAGGCTCCGCCTTGTCAACTGTCAACAGTCTTTGCGCACCTGTGTATTAAAACATGGCTCTCCCAGGTCATTTGTAAACTGATGAAGACACTGCGCGACAAAACGTTAGTTTACACACACCCCTGATTAAACTGATTAGAGTGCTCCAGCTTGTCCTTCATATTGAGTCTGTGTCCTTCAGCGGTGGAGCACCTGCTGTATCAGTTTGGATGTGGCAAAGAGCCCCTCGTTTGAAGTGAAAACCACATGCCTCCCTCGTCTCACCTCTTCCAGTAACGCAAATTCAGTTTGATGAGTGCAGTGATTTTGCAGTTCACCTGTGCAGGCGTTACTCCCGTCTCCATGCTGTGGTCCATGAGGACGTGGGAATCTCCTGCCATCCTCTGCTGAAGCACACCTGTAAAGTGCAAAAAAAGCACATTGTTGTTTTATCAAAGACCTGCAATGTTTCTATTGGTTTCAAGACAGTACAGGAATTATGCCGACCAGAATAACAAATCGTATTGCACCAGCGTTGCTTTCAAAGAAAACAAGAACACTGCAGAATAAGAAAAGGAACACGTTTACTAGTTCAGGGGAGGAATATTGTTGCTCAGGTTTGTACAACTCATCACTCCAGCACTACAAGGTCATAGAATGTGTTCAGCCCTGGTGAGAACAAATGATTTCAATTTTCTTTCAAACAGACAACAAGATATAATCACCACCTGATGGACTGGACAATAAACTCTGGACCTAAGAAGCACAGCTAACCCAAAATAGCAGAAACTAGTAGAAATAAAAATAAATATAGGAGTAAGTTTGCTTACCGGCAACAACTCAAATACTTTGCACTTGCACACATGGAAACTATGTATACGCTTTTTCCATTTGGCCTTGAAACTTTTAAATTTATCCCCACTACACAACTTCTTCTTTGTAAGTAATCCTTTTGAATCATGTGGTTTCCAAACATAGTTCAGTTCTATGTAAACTTCAGTGATTTGTTAGCATGTCAATATTTACCGGTTTATATAATTAGAACTTTGCTGTTCAAACCAGATCTTAAAGTATACCGGGATGAACCAATGATATGAGCCAAAAATAGAACGCAAGCAAACAGAACAATGCAGCTGGAAGACTAAGACTCAGTTCATGAGGTGGGACTGATTCACAGCTTTACGGCATAATGGTCGACACAAAAACAGTAAAGGAAATGAAAAAGATGAGAAAGCAAAATGTTCACCAACCTGCCTCTTGTCTTTTCTATGAAGTGTTGACATAAAATACAAATGTACTTAAATAGTTTTTAGGTGATATATAAACTTTGACCATCCTCATTAGGACATCGTACTGGTCGACTCTGTTCCGCCTTAACCTTAAAACTATCACTGTCTAAACCAGGAATGGGGAACCCTGGTCCATCGAGGACTGCTATCCAGCATATTTTAGTTTCAACCCTGCTTCAACACACCTGATTTCAATCAGCAGATGATTGACAGGCTTTTGCAGAGCTTGATGAGCTGCTGAACAGGTAAATCAACCACTGAATCACAAGTGTTGGAGCAAAGACATGCAGGATACCGGCCCTGGAGGACCGGGGTTTCCCACGCCTGGTCTAAACCTAACATCTAACCTACCACATGCAGCTGCGTTAGAACAGGTCTGTGACTCCCACAACAACCTTTGACCCTGACAATCAGGATTAGGATTTCCATGGTCTAGGTAACGTACGCTGTCCTCACAGCACGTAGCTATGTGTAGCTAGACAGCTAACATACGACTAAAGCCAAAACAAGAATCTACACTCAAGGCTTGATTTTCTTATTTGAAGATCTTTATAAATGTTTCATCACCAAAGCTGCATTACTTACTAATATGCACCTTAGCGTCACACTTAGGGAGAATGAGATTCAACTGCTGTCAGAGAAAAATTAAACACTTTTCTTATTACTAATTTAAAATGTAGTAGTTGTCATTTTGCATAGATAATGCATAAAATGTAAGCATGATAAGAGCTATGTGATGTAAAGCTATTATTCTTTTTTTATAAGGGGACATGGCAGATGTCGGTATCAGTTTATATCATTATCAGAAAGTCAGACAATATCGGTGTATCAGATATCGGTAAAAAACATTATTGAGCATCCATACTTTTAAGGTTATTAACGTTCGTGGATGCTTTTTGGAGCACATCAGTGATATCACTCACTGCCTATCAAAGCACAAAGAGGACTCAAATGCAGAGCTCACACAGTTTTAATCAGCAGAAGGGATTCCTGGAGTACAACACAACTGAAAAGTCCAAATCTAACTGAATACACTTTAACCAAGTATTTCTGAGAGCAGGTTCACATCACACAACAGGAGAAGACAAACTGGCAAAGGAAACTGTTGCAAAGACGCTTAAATGGAGAAGCCAGGATCCAGGTGCAAGGCATGAGGCAGATTAGTGAGGAGCCTCATGTCATGAAGCTGCCTGTAATGAGACAGGAAGTGAATGCACAAAATAAAACAGGAAGTACCAGAAATACAATAAAACCAGAAACAAGACTGCAAAGCACTCAACCTGCAGAATCACCCATGACACTGCCAAAGCAGTTGCAGACATCTTAAGAGAGTCCTGAAAGGGCTGAATTTTGTACGGAGACACAGCGGCTGATGGGACTGAACCATGGTAATTCCTGGTCAATTTCCCCCCGCGGAGAAACTTCCCAGAGCTCATTTAGTGAAAACGTGGCTAATGTGATGAAAACTGTTTATGCCATTCCTCCAGATCTTGGGTCTATATCAAAGCGTTTTCAGCCACTACACTACTACTACAGTGTGTATTTTCCCTGGCGATAGGAGGCAGTACATACCTAAATCATTGCCAACAAGCATTACTTTTGTGTTCAAAATTAGGGTCAAAAATCCCTGGCATTGCAACCTAAAGCAAAATGACAAACACATCAGATTCCCTTTCATCACTGGCAACGACCAAAGAGGTAAATGTATAAAACATCGATGTTTATTATTGGTGAAAATTTTGTAACTATTTGTTGCAAATCAGTAAATGTGATATGTCCTCACAGGCTTCCCTAGAAGGAAACATGGCATCTAATATGGTGTTGCCCAGAGACTTGGACCCGCTCCCAGTTATTTTAGATCAAATTTTTATGGTTGTATGTCATGAAACTGTCAATATTTTTCAACAACTGGGCATCTTTTAAGTAATTTACATCATTTTGATGGATATTTCCAGAGATTAATGTTAAACTACACATTAAAGCAGCTAAAATCTCTAATTGTCACCTTTGAACTGACTCAGCACCTGAAGAGTCTGGATGTTCATGATGGTTGATGTCTGTGAAGCATTCTTCATGTTGCACCTTCATGGCCTGACAGAACAATCAGTGGAGCGTGTTACGCTGTCGGTGTCGTTAACGAGCTTTACACATAGCCACATTTCACAATGTTTACTCAGAACATGTCAGAGTGATCACTGATGGTGTGTTACAGTTGTTCTCCGCAACAGCTGTTATTTTAGCGCTTTAAGAGACAGATTGTGTTGCTCAACCCGAGGAAGGTGACAGCTTGAACAGAGTACAAGAACGTTAACACTTCCACAAATTCCACTCACTCCACCATGTTTGTGGTAACGTATTCATGCTGCAGTAACCTACCATGTCAAAACTTTTGCTCGTTATGCTCATGGCATCACATTGCAACACAAGACCCAAGTGTTGCATCATTTGGGAGATGACCCGGCGTCTAACTGTTGGCTAATTTACCAGCACCGGATAGCAGCATCAGCTGCTGTGTTTTAATGATGATGTTTTCCCAAAGAGCAGCCTTCGCTAAGTCTGGCTCGCCACTTCAACTGCATGTGCCCACGTGCACACACAACCTTGTTTCACATGCCTCGGTCTACAACACTACATGTTGTTCCTTCCTCCAAAAAGAGGCAGCAGTTGCAGGATGGAGAGAAATAGTATCTGATAATAAACATCCAGTGTTGCACAAGACTTTTAATCTAATATAAAACACGGAGTGCGAATCTCATCTTTTGTGGTTGTTTTTAGGTTCTCTAGAGAGGTGATGTGCTGACAGTTTTCTCTATAGTGAGAGGATTTTAGACAAAAGAGATATTTTTAAATGTTTTTCATGTGAGCTGAAGTAGAGGGGTCATTTTTACTATGTTAGATCATCAGACGTTTCTTTGATGTTAAAGTCCTTACAAGCATATTGCTAGGTGACAGTGGCTGAGGAATTGGGCATTTGTCGTGTAAGTGGTGGGTTGCCAGTTTGAATCCCCTCTGACTGTAGTTATGTCCTCTTGAGCAAGACACTTCACCTGACTTTCCTGCGGGGGATGGTCAGAGGGTCCAGTGGCGCAGATTTCCTCGCAATTTTTCTTCTGTCAGTGTGCCACAAGGCAGCTACTGCCACAGTGTTATTTATCACCATCAGTGTGTGTGTGTGTGTGTGTGTGTGTGTGTGTGTGTGTGTGTGTGTGTGTGTGTGTGTGTGTGTGTGTGACTGACTGACTGTAGGGTGCACACAGCAGCAAGCTCTAAAGTTTTACCTCAACCTAATGTGTAGCTGGTTTGTCAACTCTTCGAAAGGGAAGAAGTAAACACGTCAGACAGTTTTCCTGACCCAGCTGCGCAGCGGTGCAGTGGTTAGAGCTGTTGCCTTGCAGCAATAAGGTCCTGGGTTTGCCTCCCAGCCTGGGATCTTTCTTCATGGAGTTTGCATGTTCTCCCTGTGCATGCGTGGGTTCTCTCCGGGTTCCTCCCACCGTCCAAAAACATGACTGTTAGGTTGATTGGTCTGTCTAAATTGTCCTTAGGTGTGAGTGTGTGTGCATGATTGTTTGTCCTGTGTGTCTCTGTGTTGCCTTGCGATGGACTGGCTCTCTGTCCAGGGTGTACCCCGCCTGATTGCCTGTAGGATTGCCGCCCTACGTGGACAAGCGGATTCAGAAAATGGATAGATCGATGATTTCTTGACCTTGGCACAGCTTTTCATCCATACTTGATTAATGATTAAATTGCTGATAACACAAGTATTTCCCCAATTCTATGTTGTTTTTCTTTTTTCTTTTCTTAGTCCAGTCACTGTATTCCTGCGTCCATTGTGTCTGTGGGCCCCCCCTCTTACGATACTGTGCTGTGCACCAGGCTGCAGACCAAAGGTGACAGATCATTTGTTGCTGTGGCCCCATCTCCCCCTGAGCCTGAGATCAGTGGACTCAGTGGTCTCCTTTTAAAAGCAGCTGTTCAGGCTGGCTTTTGCTTTACCTTCATCATCACCCTTTCCCTTTTCTGCTTTATTACCATTTCCGCCTTTCCCGGGATCCACTGGTTTCCAAATTACTCATGTTTTTACTTTCTCTTTCCCTTTCCACAATTGTTTCCTCATTTTAATGTATTT